CCCAAACGCCCCCGCCCCCCCCCCCATTCCCCCGGCGCTCAGTTTTAATAAAGGAACGGCTAATGTTTAATTCAGCGTCGCGTCGCACGGCACGTTGAATTGTCAATGAGCGGACGTGAAAAGACACACACGTTGCACGTAATAAAAATATGAAACGGTGCATCGAAGACGTTGGGTCCGGGTTATATGCAGGTGTGAATTCCTCGTCTTCTCTCTCTCTCTCTCTCTCTCTCTCTCTCTACGTAGTTCATCATCTCCAATAACAGACAGATGTCCGGAACGCGGCTCATCCTCTAGCGATTCATTACCTTCCTTAAACCGCTTAAATCATTTTTATGCTGTCCTTTCGCTAACAGTGTGTGCCTTCACCACACACGCTACAAATGCGTTTTGCTGCATTTGCTGCTGTATTTCCAAGTTTAAACTCATAAAGCAAGAAAGCACGAGTTTTGAACTTTTTCGCTACCGATCTCACATAAACAACGGAATCGTCGTAGCGATCGAAAGCTGCACATCATGTATACACAACGACATAAATATAACTTCCCGTTGATACCAACTTCGTGCATCACACGTGCGAATTACTGACTGAAATCTGACTTCAATTTATTGCTAAGGAGGAAACCGCACGAACTTTTTCCGATACCTCATATCTATTTAATATCTATTTAATATCTATTTATTTCTCTGCCCCGTCGTCCCTGGAGAGGAATAAACTCAGCAGATCGACTCGATATTGTTACGGAACCGGGGGGTTTCCCACCGGACGCCGTCGGATTCGTTCATTTTTCACGGGAAAAGCACGCGGGGGGGAGAAACACACGATACCCCCGTGAAACAGTTCTCGGCACGATGTAAAGTACGACGAGACGATGTGTGCGATTTCAGTGAGTATCGAGTTTAGCCTCGTGACGATAAACGGGGAAAGGATAGGACGTCGAGGATGAATTCGGTCGTGCGACGACGGCACGAAATCTGCCGTTGGCTCGAAGCCGCGAGGCGCCGCGCATGTTTGTTGTCGCGAGCCGTCCGACAAAGGGCCGACCGGCGATGATACCGTAATTTCGCGGAATAACCGTGGATCTATCGCGCGGCGGCACTCGTGGGCATCGATACGCGCGATACGTTTCACGACGGTCATTAAAGACGGCTGGCTAAAGACGTCGAGAGCACCTGACTCGTACGCTAACAAAGAGCCGAGCGAATGAGCGAGTGTGCGCGCGCGCGCGTGTTAAGGTAAAATATTTACTTCTCGTCGCAGGAGGAGGCAGCCAGGTAGCGATAATCCGAAGGGGGACCCCGTCCGCCCGGAATGCATTCCTCTTTAACACCACTCGCATATTCAACGAGCACGACACGCGGCACTCCGACGGTGTCGGAGTCCAACGACCCGTCTCTGTCGGCTGAAAATTATTGCGATTCTGCGCGCGTACGAGCGCGGACGTCGTCAGCGGCGGCACGTTGATGAAACTAACGCCACCTCGTGCTGCCGGAAGACGGGCTCGCACCGAGACCGGGTCCTAAGTGCGGAATTAAACGTTTCTTCAGCGTCGACAGGCTCTCGGCGGATCGGCCTGACCGGGAATAATCGAATCCAAGATCTCATTCTTCGCGTTAATAGCGCACGTACGCGTCGCAGCTACCGGTTGACGCCGGCGGAATTCTAATTCGCGGCTGCTAAGAGAGGTGACCTTGACTCCACGAAAGGGGTGGCGAGGTTACCGTTAGAGCGAAAGAGGGACCGACTCCCATCCAAGCGTGTTCGTTACGTGGGGAGTTTGATAATAAGAATTGCCCCCCCTCCCCCCCGGCTAATATACAACAGTGNTGAGTTTTCCCACGCGGCTCGAAGCGCGTAAGAATGATAATGGCGAGTCGTTTGAGTCGCCGATCGTTGTGGGCGGCTGAGGAAGGATTTCCTCGGCCGCGATGGCGAGAGAGGAATGTTACGTCGCGCGGAAAACCGAAAGGGAGGGTCGATGGGTGGGTGACGTGACGTCCAAATGAGGGCGAGATGTTGATCGGGAAACGGATAATTTCTCTTATCAATCCGTTGGTCGTGATATTTTTCACCCACGATCGCGATGTATCCCACAGATACATTCATTCTCCTATTATTTTCCTCTGCTTCTTGAAATAACTTTTCTTTCACTGGCACTTGGATAGTAGATCGGGCATTAAAGTATATTAAAAAAACGGTGAAAAATAAAGAGAGCAAAAGAAAAAAACATTGACAAGGACAAGTTCGACCTCGACGCCGTATGGTAAAGGCGATAGATAATAGCCTGAACGTATATCTATTGGATCTATCGTGACTAACGGAAGGTTATATAATAATAATAGTCTTTATTAAGGGAGAATACCCTTTAGTACACGTACAAGAAAAAAAGTCGCAATTGGCAGACGATATTTTTAAGATCCAGCAATTTGAAAACATTGACTCTTAATGATACCGAAAACGCAGAATAAAGTCATGAATATGATTTGTGAAATTAAGTAAGACATACTGAAGTAATTTCACTTTATCTTTCGCATTCGAATTTTATCGTGGAGAAAAATGTCGAGAGAAGCGAACGCAAACTGCGGGTGAACGAAACAATTTCCCGGCGATGATATACGATATCGAAACGAGAGAGAGAGAGAGAGAGAGCAAAAGCGGCCGCTTCTTCGACGCGACGGCGATTTATTTCAGTTCAAGTCCCCGCATCGTGACGCGTTTATCAAACGATGTTAATTATCCCGTTCCAGTCGACGCATTAACTACCTCGACGGGCCTCGACGTGGGATCTAGACGGCGTCTAGATTACAGTGTCGCGTTACACGCGAGAGTGTAATACGTCCACGTTAGAAATAATCGCGCGTCGGGAGAGTCGCGCCCACCACGTGTCCGGACGTTTCGACGCCGCGCTCCGGTGCTCCCTCTCGTTGATTGCGTCGCGAGGGGAACGACCCGTCGCCGCCGACGACCACGACGACGAGCGTTTAACCAAAACGTGAAAATCGAAGGGATAGCTGACTTCTCCTTGTAGAAGTGACCGCGGCTCGAACTCACCAGGCAATTCATCATCGTGCACAGGACGAGGATCGTCCCACGACTTCCGCGCATTATTTCCGCTTTGCTGGGCACGAGGCTCCGCCGAGTCGTTGAGAATCGAATCGTGGAGAGGCCGAGACACCCGGGACCGAATAAGTAAGTTATCGGCGACGATGCGCGAACTCGCGGTCAGGTTCGCAGCGCGACCTTGCGCGCCGACGGGGGTGCGAGACGGTGACGCGAGTCCTCCGGCGAGAGGATGTAAACAAGAGGCGGCCTCCACGCGGTGCGTGTACGCGTGCGTGAGGATGACTGAGGGAAGACTGAACGGACCCCCGGCGGCCTGGCGCTTTCGGCGGGAGCTGAAGGAACGGAAAAGCGGCGGCCGCGACGGGGCCCGCGCTCCCACCTCCTCGCCGCCACGCTCTCTCGGGCTTCTCCGTTCAGCTTCCTCCGCTTCCTCTTTCGCCTCCGCTTCTTCTTCTTCTTCTTCGCACGCGGGCCCAACCGTCAACGCGACTCGCTTCTTGCACGATAAAAATTTCGATCGAACGGTGATTGGGAGAGGTGATGAACGAGATAATAAGTAAAAGCCAATCGGGTGGTAAATTGGGAAGAAGTGATTAGGAAAATAAAAAGGTAACAACGACGTGAGAAGCGGATGAGAGCGTTATTCCCGCGGGATGATTTTTCCGCGACGACCTCTTCCGCCGAAGGATCTCTATTGCTCCTCTCGTCTCCCCGAGGGTTTTCCCAGACGAGCGATATTGCCGTCGAACGTACGGTTGCCGCCTTTTCTCCGTTTCTTCTTTTTTCCTTACAACGGATGAGCGGGTTCGTATCGTGTCTTAAAAGTCGCGGTACACGCCGTCGCCCGGCGCGTCCTCGTTGCGCTCGGGAACCCGACGGGTCTTAATCCATCCCGATAATCGCTGCGCTCCAGGCGGTCCGTAAGAAAATCGACGGAGAACCGGAAGAACGGCGAAAAAGCCGGCGCACGCGGCTGAACGATTTTTTGCCAAGGTATATCGCGGCAAGACGACGACGACGAAAGGCTCCTTGCGGAGGAACGTCGGAATGCAGATCGGGCTGACGCCACGTGAGAAGAAGAGAGCCACGAAACGGTCGTGGTGAGCGCGGAAGTGCGCCTCGCAAAAATTGACCGGTAAATCGTGACGGAGGGGGAAAAAAAAAGAAACGCCGTGGCAGTCTCGTTAAGACATAAATCCTCCGTAAATCCCGGCGGTATGCTCGGTTACCTCCGTCGTGGCGCGCGATCGATCCTGTCAACGAATTCCCAGGTAAAAGGAGTGTGAGAGAGAAAGAGAGAGAGAGAGAGAGAGAGCGGAGGCATATTCGTCGACGTTCTGATCGTTGACCGTTCCGGGACGATAGGCGGTAATCGTTAGCGCGGGGGAACGTACCAAGCGCCTAATTCATTATGGCGAATAAATAAGCGGTTAGTCCGGGTCCCGTCGCCGTTCACCTGTGCGCAAACACACCTCTAAAGAGCCCATTTTTAGCGCCCGTAAGCGCCGGTGCCGGTCATCGGATTCCTACTCGCCGCCGGCGGCTCGTCCCGATACGGTTAACAATCGCGTACACTCTCGTACACACTCAAGGCTATGCGCGATGATCCTCCGGAATCGCCGCTTCCTTGAATGTCGAGAAAAGAAAATTATACGAGCGTCGAACGAGTGTCTAAGAAGTATCGATCCATCATCTTCGAATTATAAAATACTCTCTTGCGAATCTCTCTTCGTCGAATTAATTCCTTTAAATTGAAAGAATCCTTTCTGATTGTAATTCTGTTGTAATTCTGTCGTGTCAATGTAATTCACCCAGCCCGAGTTGAAAGTTTTATATTAAACCTTTAATTTTGCAAACAGTGAAAGAAGGATATGGTAATAAATGCAAAAATTTTATTTATATGTGCCTACTGAATGTTTAATTGCTGCAATAAAAAAATTTAGTTCCGTATATTATAGTTTTATCCGTGTATTATAGTTTTATATACAGTATACATAGTATTTACAATATACGGAAATAAATTTTTTTCATATATACGGTATGTGTAGTTTACGTAACTACAATACAGCATACGGAAATAAATCTTTTGGTTGCAGTAATCAAACATTTAATGAGCATACATTAATCAAATTTTATTTGTTACCAAATCCTTCTTTCAGGAGCTAAGATAGCAAACTATATAAGTTCAATTTTAATAAAATAATTTATTCTTATATGAAGATAAAAATTTCTATAAGTTTAATAAAATTTCTCTAATCGAAAAAAAATGTGTTTTTTGGAATAGAGCGAATAAACGAATATTTGATTTAATGCACAAAATTGTTTGTTTCTCAAGTAAAATGATATTTAACATTAAATTATGTTGTTTACATGAAAAAAAACTCGAGTCAAACAAACATGTATACTAAACCTTTTCTTCCAAAGAAATCTTTTTCCCTGTGTATTTTGACTATAAAAAGATTTTCGTCCTCGCTGCTTTTAGCATAAAAAAAAATTGGACTGCTTCGAATAGTCATATGACATATGAATCGAAATATCGTGATATCGAAATATCGAGAGAGATTTATAGCTTCAAGATGGGCATTAAAATTAAATCCGTAAGATCAAAGACTCAAGAGAGAAGCTATAACAAGTGTAAGATCATCAAAGTAGGTTTTATCAGTTTACAAGCGACTTATTAGTTTACAAGCGATTTAACTGGACGCAAATTATCCTTAAGAGCGTCGAGGTAGCATTAAAAACTTCGACTCGCATCAAATTCCCCGTTTCTTCGTCGGAGAAGCGCGGAAAGATATGTGCTTTCAATCGTTTCATTCTCCCCGAAGAGGTATCTGAGATAAAGATCGCGGCCATTAGCTCGCACTTGAAGCGATCTCGCTCGCTCGCGCTCTCCAGCGATCGCCTTCCTCGAGCTGTCGATCTTCGAGTCCGCTATTAACTCCGGAAACTCACCGGCTCTTTCACAGCGCGGCACGCGCTCGGCGGCCGGCGTGCCGAAATCAGGCTAATCCGCGGTCGATCGGCGATGCGGGTAATAACAGCCTTGACAGACGCAGCAGCCTTGCGAGCCTCTGCGGTTTGCGGCCTTCTACACGGCTGTAAACACCGTTACGATTTCAAACAAATGTTATTCTCCGCGCCGGCCAGCCGGCAGGCAGGCCGGTTGGTCCGAGCGGTTCCGAGCCGCGGAGTTGCTCCGAGAGCGCCGAGCGTCTTCGTGGTTAGATGACTTTGCGGGCCGAAGACACGCACTCCTTACTCGATGCACCGGCTGCCGTCGGACGCAACGCGTTGCACCACGCACGTTGCACGCATTACGAAGCCCCGCAGCCGTATATCACGCGGCCGGGCCGCGCTCAATGAACGCTAATGGGAAATATTTTTCTCCGCTCGCGCGCGCGGTTTTAATGCGGCAGTGTACCGTTCAGTCCATTACGCTTTGATTTCAGGCCCATCCCTCTCGCCCTCATCGTGCGTGGCGTAGCCGGCGAGCCTCTACCGTGTCATTTCGTCTCGGAGTCAATTACCGGCCGGCGATATGAAGTGCGAGCGGAGAAGGGAGAGAGAGAGGGACGAACGCAAAATATCGCCGCGGATAAGAGGAACGTCTTTTAGATCGCGAGGGAGTCCGAGGAACGTTCCCGACCCCGAACGATACCGGACTCGCTTACTTGAAATTAAGATAATTGGTCCGTTGATTTTCTTACGAATCCTTTAAGTTTTCAACAGCATTTCTGATAAAGATTCAAGTATATCGCAGCTAATCTGTAACCTGGCTTTGCTGAACCTGGTTGTTTTTTTGTTTAAAAAGTAAAATGATAAAATAATCTTAAAAATTTATAATCAGTACATAAAAATGCGAAAAATGCACACAAATACGGAAAACTCCGGCGTCACGATCATTTCTCTAGTAGTGCATCCGTGTGCATTTATCTCGGTACATATGATATACTTATAAACATATGTCTGACACGGGCTGTCTAAATAAAAAATACACGTCAAAGCGCGAAAAACGATTATTTATGAGTTTTTAGATATTATGTAAGTTTGATTGATATTCTCTTATTATAGTTGTCAAAGCTGTATATCATAAATCATATTCATCAAAATTTCTTCGAGTTTCTTCATGTTGTATTAATCATTACTTTCTAATATCGTACTATCACGGACCAACTACCTTAATTAAAAAAGACGCCGAATTGGTGACATTTTTTTTCAGCCACCCAATCATACGCGGAGCTATGAAACAGCATCAACTATCGATCCCATTTTGCCGGGAAATTGTCGTATCACCATTACATTTTATTATTCAATTCAATGATTTCAGATTCAATTTCTTTTGTTTGCGGCCGAAGAGCACGGGTTTTGCAACGATATTCATCGTCTGCATCAAGCGGGTTCGTTTTTCGCGGCGCGGAAAGGAAGAAAGAAGGAAGAAATTCCCGGTGTGGCGGCCAGACAGCAGGAAGATCGTGAAGAGCGAGGAGTTTCTTCGACGGCCGGGCGGGCATTCCGCAACGCTTTTCTTCGCCGCAACTTCGAAGCTCGCCGAGCAGGTGTCGGCCTGGAATCGACGGTAAGCCAAGACGCTACCGTTTCTTGCATCCTCGGCGACATCCTCGCAAACGACTTAACGGCCTTGGATTCCCCCGCCGCGCTTCGCTTCGCGCATTTTTCTTGCCTCCCGTGACGCTCGTCTATCCGCGCGTCGTTACCCGACGCGTTTGAAATTATTTACTATCTGTGAGATCATGATGATCAAATTCCCGCGGATTAATCATTTTTCGGGAAAACCGACCTCCCCGAAATCCGAGCCTTTTCAACCGTACTTGTTTCATAATTTACTTCGCCGAGTAAAAAACGCGGAACCGTTCGACGCTTCGAGCAATTTTTTCTGCGGATCGCTCATGTAGAAATTGCTTTTTTCATTTCGACGATTTCCTCGCGTGAATTTTCACGACTGACAATTGCGATCCGTCTGTCACCGCGTGTTATCCGCTACAACCGGGCGCGCCGTTGCGCCGCATCGCCACAGTCGTCGTCGTCGAAAATTCCACGCGTACGCGCGGCGCGTCACTCCGTAACGGGAAACCGCGAGGCGCGATGAGGTAAAGGACGGGATAATAAAGTGTCGCCGTTCTTACGAAAAGTCGCGGCCGTGAAATACGGCGTCGTGACAAATCGTAAATTCCATTAAGTGTAGCGCGACGCGCCGAGGAACACCGTGCGAGGCCGGGAGAGAAAGAGAAAAGAGAAAGAGAGAGCGAGAACGGGAGAGGAAGAGAGAGAGAAGAGGCTGTTATCCGAGAGGGATATACAGTTATACACATCGTCGATGAAACATTCATGAAACTACGGTGTAACGCGGTGTACGCGCGTTGCGCGTTTACAGCGCAGCGCGTTGCACTGAACGAACGAACGAACGACGATGCATCGACGGCGACGCGGGTCAAGTATTTTTCGCCGATATTTCGTCACTCACACGGCTTTTACTGTCCATTACCGCATGCACCGAGCTCTTTGTGCCTTGTATTTGCAATTAATGAAACAGATTCTCGACTCTAACGGCGTGAGCGTGTGTACTCGTCGCGATGCCAATCGCGCAAAACGGCACACTTCGCTTGATTTATATTTCAGTCGGATGCGATAAAGTCAATTAAGGAAAAGTCGAGCTTTTGACCCGAAGAATTTTATTCTCCCGAACTCGTCTGTGTTTCTGCAAAAATGTGGAATTCCGGATGTGGAAATGTGGATTCCGTTAAATGTGGAAACTGTGCGTTCTCGTTTTAGGCGCGCGCAGTCGTGTTTGAATTCTTTGGAGATCTTAGATATTTTGACCATTTGTAATTCCAAGGATACTGTTAAAAGGCTTGTATTCGTCTTGACATACTTAGTATTCGCATTTTGCATTGATTATGTTTCCACTGAAGAGGGTTAGATTTAATCGAAATGTTTAAATGAATAATGACGCGTTTTCATTTTTATATCAAACATGTTTTTGAGGATCTATCTATGATTTGTTTGTTATAGCACTGTAATATCCGTGCTTCGACATTTTACGGTCCAATATTGATAATTGTAATTCTACAATTATTGGTTACTCGATATCTCTCAGTTTACGAGGAGAAATCTACTTAAGGTGGATAATGAACTTAAGCGGAAATGCAACTCGAGTATTTTATTAAACGCGTCCGAGATGCTGTTTCATTCGGGCCGGATAATCCGGCTACCACCGTAATGACGCGGAGAGCCGGTGGAGTCGCTGAGAACGCAGCCCGAAAGAATCGTAAATAATCGAATAATAACGTCGGCGCAGTCGGATATTGTAATAAAAGTCTGTATAGCGCTTCCCCCTTTTGGTTCCACTTACCTCTCTCTCTCTCTCTCTCTCTCTCCGACATTCTCATTAGACTTCATCATCTTTCTCCTACCGCCTCGTCGACATCGTCATCACCATCGACGTTTTCGTCCTTCGCATTGGATGTTATTGAACCTTACGCACACGAAGTTTCAAATGACCACCGAGACTCTGAAAAATGCATGTTAATCAGTCATTGGTTCGCGTAAGCATCATCTCCTTATAATTGTTCCCTAATAATTTAGAAAATTAACCGGACGAGAGAATTAGACGACGAGCAATTAAAAGCGGGAGACGGGAAACCAACTTGTAGAATCGTGAATTTTTAATTTCGTGAAAATCGAGTCTCGCGATTGCCGAATCCTTCGTATTCTCGCGATTTATTTATCTCGATGCTTTTTGGCAAGAGACAACATCGGGAATTTAAGAAAAATTCCTTCGTCGATAATTTGGCATACGGGGTATAATGAGCGCTTGTGTGCGTGCAGCAAGGTGATCAGAGCGCGAGGGAAGTAGCACGATGAACACAATTCGATATCTGGCTTCATTTATCTTTCCTCGGCGAAACATTCGGTTTATATGCTGTTATCCGTGCGACTATCTCCGGGATGTGGTATAATGACGTTAATATTATCCCTCCATGTCTCGTTATTCTCGCGGGCCTAATTATCTCACCGATTATTAATGCCACGTAAGTTAGTCTTTACGATAGAACTATTTGCATTAAGATTCCCACGAGTGTGATTTATTGTTTGCTCGTGTACTAATGCCCGTTGGTTCGTTCGTCGCTGAGAATTCGCATAACAGCTACCGTAATGCTTTGCTTTCAAATTTCGACAGGTATTAAAAAAAAGCATTGTAATTTTTACCTTTCATGAGCTATCATCCCATGCTGCGTAGATTTCCAAAGGACATCCTGAAGACGTTCGGAAGATGTCTTGTGTCCTAAAGATGTTCTTAGGACGTCCCTAGGATAAAATGTATCGTGTGGGACAGGTGTTGTGGGAAATCGCGCCATTAGTGCGTAAAGATGGCGATATGGAAAAACGAATCGACGTCCTTATAGATTGAACGACGAAATTATAGATTGGCTCCAATATTCACTGCCAGTGCTGAAAATCTATAGTAAAAATCGTTAAATTTTTCGTAACTGTCGTAATGTCTAGTTGATTGTTAATAATTTCTAATAGTGTCTGCAAACGTATTGCTGAGAAAAAAAGAGGGAATACAAGACAATCGTATTATACATGAAAATGAGAGCCCCTTTGACTTACCGTTGAACCACACTGTTTACAAATGTAACGATCGTTTGTGTCTCCGTTAATCGGAGTGCTTGGAAGTAAAAGAATCTTCTAAGCCGCCGTAGAATCGTACATTTTAAACGAAGATTTTACCGACCTGCTGTTGAATCGTGCTACTGTCTCGATTCGAAGATAAAAATTATGGCGACTCATAGTGAAGGCTCTGGAATTACACTTTGAAGTGGCACCCGAGCAGCTAGGTTCATATAAATTTTTTCATTCTTTTCATTTTTGTATCGAAAGAAGGTACACTGAGATAACTTTAAGAGAACTTACACAATTGAAAGATGTAGAATATTAAACAGACACAATCGTTAATCAGAAAAAAATGGGAATTTTTATTCCAATTAGAATATCCGAACAACACGACAAACGATCACGCGGCGCCATCTAGCGGTGTTATAAAGAAACGTTTAAAGAGCGTTGGTTTGAACCTAAAGCTAAGTCTGCAATAATGTTTTAAGCCTTAAGCTTTGAGAAATTGACCAATTACAATTGATTATTCTTCTATAATTCAATTATGATTGATCAATTTCTTAAGGCTTACACCTATTATAAACCTAGCTTAAAGGACATTTCTCAATACCTTGTCGCTAATTGCGAATTATGACAACTACTAGTTAGGCTACGTTCAAAAACACCATGCTGAGGGTAAAGTGGCATTTAATTGACCAATCGGAACAAAAAGAACAAAGATTTCTTTATCATGATAGGTCAATTAAATGCCATTCTACGTGTCGTGTTTTCGAATGTAGTCTTGTAAAGTGCATTTTCCGTTTCTTGCAATTGCATCACTTAAAATGTAACAAGAATATACTTGACTTTCTTTTTTTAGGTCTTAAAAACCGATTATTCCAACTTTTTGATAAAATTTACCCGACGGATATTTATAAGATATGATGAAATCAGTGACTGTTGTTGATTGGTCTGTCCAATAAGTACCTGTCGAGTAAATCTTATCAAGAAATTGTGACAATTAGCCTTTATGATATGTCAACAATTTCTAATAAATCAGATTTTTTCATAGACTAGTTGAACAGAACAGTAAACGACTTCCATATCATTGATTTTTTCGCCTTCTAGTAACAGTTCCTAGCGTTAGTGACTGACCAATCTGTAAGCCCAAAGAGGGAGAGTCGATGTGACTACGAATCGATATTGTAGTATGACTCAACGACAAGTCAGCCGGACTTTCTATTTTCAATTAATGCAGTTTTAAGAGCAGATTAGATGGACTATTAATCTTTAAATAGTATTCAACAATGGATGAAAGGACTTTATTTTTAAATAATAACTGTATAACAGGTAATTCTTTAGTTTCTAATAATATAACTTATGGACAAATTGAACAAACTTTTCATTCTTCGATAGTACGACTGGGTGCCGAAGTGGATAGACTCTTGTCCTTATTTATCAACGAGGAATAAATAGGAATAAACGTTTTTCTGTTCTGATAATGAATTGTATCACGGAAAAATGAAAATTTGAGCGGGATCGGATTTGGAAATGTTAAGCGAATCGATCCTTTGTTAAAAAGAGTAATCGAACATCGATTTATCGGTCATACTACGCACAACAGTATTCATCTACCAGCTCGTTCGCCATCGCTTGTTGTTCTCGTGGGTTTCGTCGAAAAGTCTCGGCTTAGCTACGTTCACTGAGAATCATGGCGCTTATTTCTGCTAAGACGATTTTCAGTCCCGGTAAGATCACGCAAATTCCAAAGCATGTTTGTGTTAACGACCGTGATGCAATTTCTTAGCTAATCTTCCCCGATTGCCCCTCACGTCTCCTTACCGGTGTGATTCCTTCTTTTAGTCGATTATCGAGCGTGATTGTTTCTCGTGTAAGAGTAAGATTTAAGCGCTCGTAGATAATAAAATATTTCACTATTCTACCTCACGTAGATCTGCCTCTGTTTTGTTTCAGTATTGAAGCAAACTTTCAAGCAAGTTATCTTCACGAGGCAACTGCCGAAATGCGTAAGTTCTATTCGTCATTAACAAGATGGTTCGTGGTTGTAGTCTGTAAGCATAATTGCTTAAAACCGTCAAAGTAAGCTTTTATTGACAAAGACTTCCTCTCGAGTGTTTGTCATTCCCTCTTTAGATGACGTAAATGCCTTGTATGCTTTAACATATATTTTTAGAATTACTATAATTTTCAATTATACTTATACCAGAACAGTTGAAATCATCAATAAGTATTAATGTACATGTATATAAGTCTGTGCTATAGCATGTATTGAATTTTCTAATCCTATATATCAATTGTATCTATATATTACATATCTAAATATTTCTCTCTTATATAATATGACTCATTATTACTTAACATACTAACATTTTATGACATAGAAGCGTTATATTGCAAGTCAATATGTACTGTACATATTGTTATCATTATTATTTTTTAACAAAGTACAACTGAATATATTGTTATTTTTCATAGCAAAATTATCAACTTATCAGTCAGTCATTCCTGCCAACCATTGGCAGTCAAAGATATTATGCAGAGAAAAAAATATTTTCCCGTGACAAACCACATTGTAATATAGGTACTATTGGCCACGTAGACCATGGCAAAACAACTCTGACAGCAGCCATTACCAAAGGTACATATCAGTTTTGTTCATAGAATATATAACCAGTTATTTATATTGTAAGCAAAAAACTATATTTACTTAAAACTAAATTTATAAAAACTATATTGTTAGCAAAAAACTATATTTAACCACAAAATATTGTTGCAAATAGTATTGGCAGAGAAAGAACTTGCAAAGGCAAAAGAATACAATGAAATAGACAATGCTCCCGAAGAGAAGGCTCGTGGTATCACTATTAATGTCGCACACGTTGAGTATCAGACAGAAAATCGTCATTATGGGCACACAGACTGCCCAGGCCATGCCGATTACATCAAAAACATGATCACAGGAACAGCACAGATGGACGGTTCCATTCTGGTCGTCGCTGCAACAGACGGCACTATGCCACAAACTAGAGAGCACTTGCTTTTGGCTAAACAAATCGGTATCGAGCATGTTGTTATATTTATCAACAAGGTACGCCATACATAATATCTTGTTAAGGATTTGTGTTTCAAACATGGTGTTAATATTGCACGTATTTAATATTTACACCAGGTTGATGCTGCCGACGCAGAAATGGTGGAATTAGTAGAGATTGAGATACGAGAGTTGCTTAATGAAATGGGTTACGACGGCGATAACACTCCCATAGTAAAAGGCAGCGCGTTGTGCGCTCTCGAGGGAAAGAATCCCGAATTGGGCGCACAGGCGATCACGCAGCTGTTGGCCGAAGTGGACAGATACATCCCAACCCCGCAGCGAGACCTGGACAAACCTTTCATGATGCCGGTGGAGAATGTATACACCATCCCTGGACGTGGTACCGTGGTCACCGGTAGATTGGAGCGCGGAAAAATCAAGAAGGGAATGGAGTGCGAGGTTATAGGTTACAACAAGACGTACAAGAGCGTGATCACAGGTATCGAGATGTTTCATCAGATACTGGAGGAAGCCCATGCCGGAGATCAGCTGGGCGCCTTAGTGAGAGGCGTGAAGAGGGACGACATTAGAAGAGGCATGGTACTGGGGAAACCCGGTAGTTTAAATGCGCACGACCATTTGGAGACGCAGGTATACATGTTGACCAAAGAGGAAGGAGGCCGGAAGAAGCCCATCGCGAATTTAATCCAGCTCCAGATGTTCAGCAAAACGTGGGACATCGCGGCGCAATGCACGATAGCAGGGGCAAAAGAGATAGCCATGCCGGGCGAGGATTGCACGTAAGACATTCGATTTACCTCTCCTCGATTTCATCGTCCGCTACGTGTTACACATGTTCTTTTCTTGCAGGTTGGAACTGAAACTGCTGAAACCGATGATATGCGAAAAAGGCCAGCGTTTTACACTGAGAGACGGAACGTTGACTCTGGGCACCGGTGTGATTACCAATACCTTGAAATCGCTTACAGATTTGGAGCGATCATATTTGCTCGAGGGCAGGAAGCAAAGGGAAAAGAGAGAGAAACAAAAACAGAAACAATAGATCTTAGGAGCTTAAGAAGAAATATTTGTTATTCGATGAAAAATAAAAAGAAAAGAGTATTGTGGGAAGAAAAAATATGCGCAGATGCAGATAACCAACAGATCGCGATCGGAATTTTCAAATGGATGTCCACCAAGATATTCGACATTCCTTTAAAAGGAGAATCGATTTGACGGATACGCGTGATGTAACCGCCACGTAGATAACTTGAAGAACGCATTTTTGCAATTATACCGCGTGTCATAGTTCCCGTAGTTTTATTCGTCGAGGAAGAAAAGTGTAATTTGTGTCATTGAATCAGATGTATTATAAAGGCGTGTTTATTAATCACCTCCATTCCTTTCTTCACTTTGTATGCAACTACATTGATACATTGTACGAGTAAATTCTTAAATAAACATTAGTAATATATAATAAACCGCGTGATTACACTAACGATTAACACGAATCGAATTATTTAGCAATTATAACACAATGAGATATATACGATCCCATTATATTGTTTATAATAATCCATATATATATATATATATCTCCATATATATTTATATGGATACATATGGGTGGATATCAAATAAAATCTGCCTTGAGCAGAGAACAATGGAAAGCCATAGTCGAATTTACATGTTGCAGTGTATCACTCTTTTTTTTTCCATGCTAAAAATTCATCGGTATAATTTACACACGGCGACACTTTCCGCTAGATCCGGAATAAGTTCGGATGAAGGTTTTAAAAAGGAGAATAACGGTTTCACGTGCACCTGACTAAACGGATTCTCTCGTATACATAGAATTTATATAATTTAGCTTTATATAAACACGCTGAACACGAGAATAATTTCAATGATTCACGGAATATCGCTTACTCTTAAAAGTGGATACGCTATGACACGGCATACGCACACGTGTGTTTGCATGAACTCTGTATTCGAAAATACTTGGATTTTGGAAAATTGTCGCGGAATCGAGACCAATTACGATAGTACAACCACGCAAATTTATAAATTGAACACGAAACAGAATTAATACAAGGATGCACCAACGGAAAAGCCATTTACGTAAGAGTTTTAGAAACAAACTACATATACGTTAAACACAATGTAACAGGAGGAAAGAATTTTTTTTTATTTTTTTCCGACTTGCCTGCTTGCGTAGATGACATATAAAAAAGGAAAAACAGAAACGCGTGGATAAGAAAATGAAAGGATACATAAGGAAATGGGATTTGATGTATAAGGCGTGCCGTATATTGTACAAGATCGAAGCACTGGAACTCAGTATTGTATACAAATGTTATGTTCCTTAAAGAAAAAACTCTTCGACCTTTATTAAGATGTACGAGTGCACGCGATATAACCATGGGCACTCGCGTAGGCCTTACCTCCGTAAAGGCCACCCGAGTTAGATAAATGTTAAATAAACTAAAGGTCTTCATCGTCTTCAGGTAATGCCGTCTCCTGAGCTTCCTTGAGATCCTTTTCGATCTGTTGTTGCCATTGTGGGTCCATAGTCACCTCAGGTGGCAGCAGAGCGGGCATGGCAACAAACTCCAGGTTTGGATCTCCAATTAATTTCCGTGCCAACCACAAGAAAGGCTTCTCGAAGTTGTAATTACTCTTTGCACTGATGTCGTAGTACTGCAACATAAAAAAGCAATCAGCTCTGGAATTTCTTACTATACTTTATCAACTTATCTACAAAGATCATTCAGATTAGAGGGACAATCTAGTGTCTTCACTTGATATAAGATTCTTGATTCATCATGATGAATTGCAGAATATTGTGCAAAAAAACAATATTTAGAAGAGGAAGAGAGAGAGAGAGAGCTTAAAATATCTGCATAAGCACCTGTAGGTTCTTCTTCCTGTGGAATACAATACTTTTCGCTTTCACTTTTCTGTCCTTGATATCAACTTTGTTACCGCAAAGGACAATTGGTATATTTTCACAGACGCGGACTAAATCCCTATGCCAGTTGGGCACATTTTTATACGTTACTCTGGACGTAACATCAAACATGATCACGGCACATTGTCCCTGGATGTAGTAGCCGTCTCGAAGGCCACCGAACTTCTCCTGGCCGGCTGTGTCCCAGACGTTGAAACGAATCGGTCCGCGATTGGTATGAAAGATCAGTGGATGGACTTCTACACCGAGGGTGGCGACGTACTTCTTCTCGAACTCGCCGGTCAAGTGCCGTTTGACGAAGGTAGTCTTACCGGTACCTCCGTCGCCGACCAGCACGCATTTGAAAGTGGGCATATCATTTTCCTGTGCCATCTTGAGCTTTGATGATCCCGCGATACAGCCGATTTACTTGGTTAGGAACGAACACGATTCTGCAAAGAAAAAAAAACGACAATGGATCAGATTCCCGGTCAGGTCAGAGAGCGAGGGGAGCACATGGACGACGGAGACGTGACGTGTAAAGCGCCACGGATTTCCCACGCGACCTCGTGGTCGCTATAACGCGAGCCCTTCGAACGTGAACGTCCGATCACCACGTGAATTCGGCTGAAAAGTGGCGCGTCGGACGCTGAAAAGCGTGTTCTATCGGCGATGGAGAGGAGCCAGGAAAAATCGCGACCAAGGACGTCGGGCGAACGGGCCAACGGGGACCCAACGACTGACGTAGCTACTGGAAAATCGCGTGGATCGCAATCACGCGTGCGAAACATAGTCGAGGAACAACCGAGGCTCGCGCTACGTACTCGTGCGATGCTCACGATGATGATGCTCGGCGAGAGACGCGGATCGGAGTCGGCGCGCAGAAAATCGGAGGGAAAAGCCGGTCGGAGCACGTTGCCGCGCGCTTGCACGCCGTGAGTCGGAATTCACCGTTGGTCGCTCTCGGCGGGGGAATGGCGTCTGCCGAGCTTCGAGGGTAATGCGGGATTTTCGCGGCGATCTAATGCGCGAACGCGACCAATTCCCGGCGCGAATCGCCGCACGCGTGTAATTACCGTGGACTCTCCGGTGTTCGGGCGCGAGACGGCCGACGCGGTACGAAATTTCCCGGGTAGCCGGCGATGTACGTGAAAATGACCGATAAAACTCACCGTGTGGCACAGTCGTTATGGCTCACAATGGCGTTCCTCTGGGCGGACGAGTGGAGACGAGCGACCTCGTCATTCGTCGACTCGAAGCGCCACGAAGTTGCGCGACAGACCGTCCGAGAGCGCCCGAAAAAATCCGATTCGATTTTTCGCGTGTTTTTCGGCGAAGTGTGGCGCGAAGTTTCCCGCCGACCGATGAACAAAGACTCTCGATGGATCGGGAAATTCGTCACCGGGAAGTGCATACGATCGGACTTGCAACGAGAAGCGACATCTTCGGTCGGCGTGATATTCAACGTCGGTACGTGTAACGTGAGGACGTGCCGCGCGCAGCCGACACACGGGGGCGCCATTTGCCCCGGTGGCGTCGAAGCCGAACCGCGCCAAGAATCGGCTCGGCGAATCGGGAGTCCATTTTGTTCCGGTCGGCGTTACCGTGCGGAGATGCTGATCTGTCTCGGGAACTATTCGAATTGATGAACTATTTCGAGCGAGGAACATCCGGAAGCAGGCAAGTTCCTTTAGTCGCGACTCGATGCTCATTTTAGGAAGCTGGAACTCGAATGGTAAGCACTTATCGTCGATTAAGCATCCTTAATTCGTCGCTATCGTTAAGCAACGCTCGTTCCGCTTGTCTCGCGTATCTTTCTTATTACATCTTCACTCGAGTTGTACATAATACACACGACTTGGCCGAAATCAAGTCTCCTACTCGGTTGATGCATTCACGATATGCATGACACGTCTGAATCATCTAATACGAAACGTGCAAAATTAATCCGCATTAAATAGTAAAGTTGACCGAGCAAGATGGCGATGGATGGGAGCCGTTAATAGACGCGCGCCAAAAGAGTCCTCCATTTTCGATAGTGTCGTATTTAATTAAATCTCGATATTTGAATTATATATATATTCTGTATGATTTGATAGCGACCCTAAGCGAAATTAACGACGCTCGCGGATACGAAGCTCAACGAAATGTCCCTGTTGGAGATATTTTGCTGGAAGTACTGTGAAGTCGATGAAAAGTGAGATGGAAATTATAGAAAAATTACTGACTACACTTCAGAATGAATTATAATTTTCCTTGCGAAATTTAACGTAGTACCGTGAAATGTAAAGAAAATTATATTATTGAAAAGTAACGACAAATTTTTTGAAATATTAAATATCGTGAAATTTGCTGAATTTAACTGTAAGTTGAATTTTTATTGAAATATTGATGGAATGATAATGAAACGGGGTCGATTAAGGGGAAATTTCAAATACGTTTCAGTAAAATTCTATTATATTTGCGGTTAAAACATTTCCACCAGAGACGTTACGAAAGTCGAGACGTTACGAGATTAATCTCACGTTTTTATTCTAATCTGCGTAAAATACTGAATTTATGAGAATTTAATCCTCCACGTTCCCGCGCCATTGTCCGAAGCTTGAGAGAGCAGCTTTCGCGACGTCTCGACTCGTCCTAACGACGCCTCGTAGGAACGTCGGTTTGACAATCACGGGAGTGACGCTCGTTAGGACAGCGCAGAAATACAAGATCGGAATTCGCTGATAAGAAAATTGGCCGCGGCGAGAATCGGGTGCGCTCAATTCTCGCCACGTCCCTGCCTCGGCCGGCCCACTCGCCAGGCGGCGGCAGCAGCTTCATGGGGTTCCGCGGCGGGCGCCACCGCTCCTGCCCGAAGTTGACGTCATCGGCGCGTGCGCGTCGGGTCGGACGGCACTGCAGAAGCAGGCGAGTTCGCGAGTGTATCGATTTTACGATCGTGCCTCTCGCGGTACTAGTGCGTCCGTTTCCTTTAGTTTTTTAGTGGCCGTGCACGTCGTACATGGATAAAACCGTGAATGGGATTACCCGCTAGACCCGCCGCTCCGTACACCGCCCGCTGACTCACAACTCCTCGTCATCCTTCACCATGACCAAGGATAGATTAGCAGCCCTCGTCGCGGTGAGTAGAGTACCCGTCATACTCTTTTCACGAGAGAGAGAGAGAGAGAGAGAGAGAATCACTCTCTGAGCCGTCTGTACACGTAAAGCGTGCACCAGCCGACCGGAGGCGAGCCGCGGATGAGCCCCTCCGCTTCCTCGCGCGACAGCCGGACGTGCGTGTGGCCGTTGTGCACGCGTGCATGCTCGCACGCCACAGTTATCACGCGTGCACCTCATTCACGCACGTTCTCTCTGTCGTACCCGCGTAACTCGTCGTCGTCGTTGCGCTCCGACTCGAACGCCGAGCGAAACGGCATCGTCGCGGTCCTGGCTCGAGAAGGCGTAACCGGAATCGCGAGCCGGCGTGCCTCGACGATGACAGGCGGCCGCTCGTTGGCTCGCTCACCTCGATTCCGCTCCGAGCTGACAGGTGTTCGTGGCCACGCACCACCACGGTCCCTGTCATCGGCGACTCCGACACGGCACACCAGCCGAGCCGGTGTGTCGCGCCCGGGCCCATGGCGACCATGGCCGACCTTGTCACTTATTGGCGAGACGCCGATGAATGGGAAATGCCCTTGTCGCCGTGCTCCGTGACGATGCTCCCCGACGTTGCTTCAGCTTCGGCCGACCGTCTCGGCGATCACGCCGATCTTGTCGAGGTGTCGTAAACGCGCGGGGATGACGTCCGTGTCGGTTCGTGACAACGCGACGCCCGGCACAAGGTGCATTTCTTGCCGTGCTCGCTTGGCCATTTTTCGGCCGATTATTGGGATCCCTCTCGGCGAGAATCTCGTTTGTATTTATCGCTCGAAATGTACTCCCGACATTTTGTAGAATGGAATTTTTCGTAGCTACTCTCTTGATGACATTCAAGACGTAATCGTCGAAACGTCAACAAGTACGAGCGGAGAGAAAGTCGCGGCAAGTTGAGATTGCCGGTGAATGGATGGATGGATTCGGTTGATAAATATTAGCCAAGGTGAAGCAAATGTCGCATAATGGATGGGTTTAATGTACGTCGGCGTGACGTTGTTATAGGACAGTCGCACGCGGAACAATAAGGCGGAATTCGTCGCGTTTTTCCGTTTTTTGTCGAATTTTCGACAGTATTTTGTCTGTACCGGCGTCGCGCCAGTCCCGTGACAGATTGTGCGAATATATGTGCGTGGGGAGGCGGATTCGTAATTGATAACACAGCAGCGCTATCGTTATGTCACGGATCCGACTTGTCAGTGATATCATTGTCGTATAAACAATACGTTCGTTGAGATTGAGCGCTGTTTTTTCCTCGCGTTCCATTCTCTGAGTCATGCGAAAGAGAGGAACCAATCGCGGCCTGGAGCCTTGACGCTCCAGATGCGTGACTTTCGGGAGATTTGCGTTTATTAGGCAGAAATATCGACGAGACGTCGTTAATACGGTCGGAAAATAGATGACAATTGGCGTTAACGAGAATTACGAGGGACTTTTAATTCAGGAATTCGAGGAAATTACATTTACGAGATGGTCGATCGTTAGCTTTGCGGAGATAACAATTTTGGTGAAACGACAAAATGTTTGTTAATATAGTGACAGACAAAAAGACTTATTAAGAGTATTAATTTTTGATTGTGTTAACTAAATTTTATCACTGTCATAACAACGTTTCGCTACAACGGCAAAATTATTTTTTCCTTATAACAAATCGTCCTGCTGTGACTATATTAATAAACAATTTGCTATTCCACACTAAGAAAAAAGACTTAAAAAATTAGTTGTGAAATATAAAGTTTATTTCATAGAAATAAATGTTTATTTAAATACGGCAGAATAAAGCTTTATTCCTGACGAATAAATCAGTTAATAAGAAAACTTAGGTATATTTCACAAAAATATATATATATATTCCGTCATCACAATCAGATTTTTTTTTCTGACCAATAAATATCGAAGAAAATGCCACAAGAAACATTTGCTTCGCAAAATTTCAATTTCTTTTTCTCAATGCAATCATATTGTTGTCTCATATCCTTCTCCATCTTTTCCGTTCTATGTTTTATTTGTTACTTTAAATTACAGTTATATTTTTTCGTTTAAATATTATCATTGTTCGGGGATTTTTAATTACATCTTTCGTAATCTACAAACTGACGAAGTTATCTAATCGCTCGTGTTTTTAATTTCGGATGTCACATCCTCGAAACAAAGAATGTCGAATTTTATTTTTTTCTAAACGAACTAAAAATGTTATTATGCGATTCAGCTGTGCGTAACAATAACAGTAGTAACGAACGCGCGAGGTCGACTTTTCTCCCTTGCTCTTCTCTCTGTGATTTTCAATTAATTCGTCTGGTTCTCCAACCGACGAAGAATGTATGACACGCATCGAGTATCACGCTAGCTGATACCCGATGACTCATTAGCCGGCATTCGTGGAAAGCAAGTATGGGCGTAAAATCCAGGCAATGTTACCAACGGATTTCCTTGGTAGTCATTGACTATTATTAGCTCATTGCTCTCGTAATAATTATTACCATGATATGCCATTGTTACCATTATATCGCCAGACGATACATCATCTTCCGGACCGATTATCTCGAAAAGGCAATCACAGAATCACTTATCAGAGCCACGTCTCACATTAAACTCCCTCGCCTCGTGGAGAGATTCAATCCGAAAATATTTCGGGACCGAGCTGTGAGGTCACTTCGAAAACAAGTAATTGATTTCGCGTGCAACAGCGCCTCGTTTGAGGATTTTTCGCGGTAGTAACAGTCGGAAAGTTATTTTTTTATGTTGGAAAAAACTCGCGAAAAACGCGCACGTTGGAGTGTTATTCGATTTGGGTAGGTTATTGCACGAGATGTAAAGAATTATGGAGATAACGGGATAAAAATGATACGATGCGAGGCGAATGCGAAACGGTGCGAAAAGCAGAAGGCTTTAAATATATATTTGATGTTTCGCATATTCGTTAGATCGCATTCGACTCGTGAGCGGCCTTACAAACGGCAGATCGAAACGTCTATTTTCATTCGCGGGGCGAGATATAACCAGCGGCGGATATTCGGATACCGTTTGCGCTGTCATCTGCATTTGACTCCGTATTGATCCCCCGTCCCTGTTTTTAAGTCATTATTTATAACCCTCGCGCGCTTTCATAATTCTCCGACCTACGATGTACGAATCGTATCCCGCCGCAGCGTCGGGAAAGTCCGCCCGCCGCATTTATATCGCGCCGGTTATTATCTTCGCCAACGTCGCTCTTCTGCATGAAGATCGTAAAAAATGCGAACGTTCTCTATAAATAGCTGAGATTCCTTCGTGACGAGATACGAATTGCAACGAGACATTTTTTCCGCGCGCGCGCGGTATGAAATAATTCCTCTCCCGCGAAAATGATCGGAGTTTATTACGTTGTGGTGGACCGCGCGCGTGTCCCATCTTTTACGGATTGCGCATCGTGACTATATTAATAAAGAATTTGTTATTCCACGCTTGACCTTCTGTGTTTGTTATCAGGGGCTTTTATCGCGTCGTCGCGAGTTACGACACGATTTCGTTAACCACAGTTTCTGCCGGTCGGCCGAATGATGTCTCCCGAAATGCACGTCGACGAAATGCGCTATCGATGTATCAATTTCCCACGAAAATTTCGGATGAAACCCAGCGGATAATTTCGCGGTGATGGAAGCGCATTTCTTGCGGCAGAATTTTAATCGGTCGCCTCGAGCTCGTCGAGACGCATCTCTCTTCGAATTAATAATTCTTGAGATTTTTCCCAAGAAGCATTTCGATTCCGGTCACGGATACCGAATACTCTTTCTTCACTGTCCTCTTGCCGACCACAGATTGCGTTTCAGTCGGATGTAATTTGTTATTACTATTATTATTATTATTATTATTATGTAAACGATAATAAGGATACTCCTCTTTGTATTCAACCGAATATAGATATTATTACGAGTCTTTAGCAGCCAAGCACGGATAATTTAATGCCATAAATATTATATTACTTTTACCAACATTAATATAACTGTGGGAGAATAACAATTGTTATTATTATTATTTATTACTGAATAAAACGGACAGCCTTTGATTGCATAAAAAGTACAAAAACACTTGCAGAGATATAAAAAAGAAATATAAAAGGGAGAAGCGAGAAAAAATATAAAAAAAGAATGTTCACGCGGAACATCAAACCTGATTAATGTAAAACGTTTCATGCAAACGGTTGATAATGCAAACGATTAATGCAAACCCATTTGACCATTTCCGCGGCGAAGCGTCGTGCGTAATGAAAAAGTCGGCGGAATTAGCGAAATCATTCGCGAGCATAGAAATTCGTCATTCGTAATCCTCGATTACACATAGAGAGCGCGATATCTCACGGTGCGCATTTCGAGAATCGCCGCGCGTGACTTCGTTTTCCCTTTCCTCGGCTAATGATTCTTCCGAGGCCCCGAGTGCGAAGCGGGAGATACGCGTCTCGTCCTTCTGACGAGCACAATTCACTCTTCAGCTTCCTTGACCCGGCCGATAGTGCGCATTTGCTCTCTCCGCGATTTCGCCTCGCGAAGGTTATATCCCTGCCTATGTACGCCTGTGTATCGGTTTACATAACGTCTCGCGTGCTAATCGCCTCAATGGCAGCTCGCGCCTTCGCGAGCCACGCTCCCGCCCGAAAAAGCGCAGTCGATCGTTCGCACGGCGTTGATTTCGAAGACGTTCAGACGTGGAATTGAATCTTCGGTTTATCGGACACGCACGCACGTACACACACACACACGTACACACGTACGTACGTATACACACAGTCAACGATGCTTCGTAGGACATTGACCTACGTCAATATATCGGTACGTTGAAACGACGGTGATTGCGACGGGCGTGTGAGAATGTTCCCGACGTGCAATTGTCGGAATCGCGCGTACGACGAAACGTGTGTCTTACCCGTAGGACGGTCTTATCTTACTGCCTCATCGTCGCGCTTATGTTGTCGCGTTTGCCTCGTGATGTCCGTGCGCGACGTATTATGCAAATTAATTATCGGATAAGGCTCGTGAATGATTTATCGACACTTTGTGCGACACGGTGCGCAGAGGGTGTGTGTGTGTAAGGGACTATAGTTTCGGATAAATATAAACTCGCGCGTGAATAGCGCGCGCTGTAAACCCGGCTGCGGCAAAAGTCGATTAGAGCTAACCCTGTTTAACTCGATTTCCCTGCTCCGTCCACTTATGATAGGCAGTAACGTAATCCAGAAAGGGACAGCGAATCGCTGATTCAGGGTAGTTAACCCGGACGGTGCGCGATTCGGCCTTAGTTGCAGCACAAGTCGAAAGGGGAACAATGATCGATCGCGCGCGCAAATTACTCTCGGCCATGAGAATGTCTCAAAATACGCGCGCGCGCGCGCGCTTAAAAAAGAACGCACGCAAATATGGAGGTAAAACACGGCGCCGATTACGCCGATTTACGCGCAGATACTTGGGCATAGGGTTATAGCTAAGATTAGAGGATACTTCGAGCTACCTGTGAATTATTGTGGAATATCGATAAAAAATATTCTACTTATCTTATCGGTTTTGATAGGAAAGACCAGTTTTTACCGTTTTTTTTTTTTCGGAAGATAGCTTCTTTCCACTGGCATGAATTTTATTCGAAAAATCTGGAATTCTGCCAACCCTGAATCAAACTCATTTTTCAGTGTACGTGTCACGAGATCGCGAAGTAGTTTTCGTGGATTCTGCTCGCGAAACGAGCACTTCGAGAACGCTTTGTGTTTGCACGTCCGTAACGTTCAGAAATCGGAACTCACTGTTGTTATATCGATTTAAATCCTCTCTCGTACATACACACACACACATACACATGATCCGCGGCCGCACAAAGTAGAGTTCACGTCCCGGACGCTTTGCGTTAAATTTTGTTCGGTTGACATTAATTATTTTGACCGGCGACGGCGCGGTTGCGCTATTTATTAACGTCGTCGGCTCGCCGTTTCGCCGTCGCGAGGAAAGAATTTCGGCGCGGCGGAAACGCCATATCGATCGCGAGAACGACACGCGCTCCTCTCTCGCTCGTCGGGTCCCTTCCTTGTGCTGCGCCGCGCGGAGCCTATAATCGTTTCTTAATTGTATGCAAATATCGTATCGATTAAGCGCACACACAGAGCCCGAGCGACAACTAGGACGATGGAGAGGAGCGAGTCGGCCGCTCGAATTTGACGTTGAGCGTTGAGGTTCGTTTGCATCGCGTCGATATTGAAGGGGGAGAGAAAGAGAGAGAAGGAGAACCTCGCGTTGACCACCGGCCGAAAGCTCGACGCGCGGAAAATACGCCGATATGCGTCGGTATTTGAGGTTTATTATGACGCAACATAATGGAGACCAGAGAGATACGAGAGATCCGTATCGAGCGGGTTTCCGGCCGCGCGCGAAAATATACGATTGATCTTACGAGGCACGCTCTTGTTGTGCATGCTCAGGTGTGCTTTGAATTTCAAATTTTTCCTCTTACGGAGAAAACGGAGGAGAAAAGTTATAACTCGCGCCCCTCATTACTCCCGTCGGGCAATTAAAAAATTGGCCATGTCACGCGACGTCCACCGACTTTGATTAATGTACACTTCGAGTTACGCGCGACGATGGTAACGCAGCAAGTCACCTAGTGACATTTCGTTGGATACTTCGTCCAATGTGATTTTTATTTCCACGACGGCGGCATTAAACTTGTATAATGAAAGAAAACTCGCTGGTCCTCGCTGACGACGTCGAAAGAGATCCTCCAGCTATCGATCAGACGACCGGCTTCGACTTTACGTACGCTGAAAGGGAAGATTATATTCTGGAAAAGTGCCGATGAAATATTTTCGCGTCTTTCCTCTCTCACTTATTTACGAGTATCGAGTTTGTGGCGCGTCGCGTGAGAAACGGACCGATTTTAAATCCGAAATTTATCCGGAGAATTCGCTCCAACGGACATATTTGCGACATCGAAAGAAAAATCCCTTGCGTATCGTCTTGTAAGAAAAATCATTCGATGTGTCGAATCCCGCTGATTGCGCGAGGAAATTTTCTTCACTTTTACTAGCGTTCTATAATGAAAGAGTTTGTTGTTACGGGAGAGTTTTCGACTGATAAACCAATTTACGAAGTTCACGAGGCGTGAGCCTAACTTTCTTTGTTTCTTTCTTTCCTTCTTTCTTTCTTTCTTTCTTCCTTCCTTCCTTTCTTCCTTCCTCCCTTTCTTTCTTTCTCTCGATACGATTAGGCGTTCGTGCCGATGACCCATGTCGAAAGACGGACTCTTAAATATTCAACCGTCGTACAAGATTGAAGCATTATTCTTCCGCTGAGACGTGTCTGTGCGTGTGTTTCTTCGCGATGCGAACGTTGTGTTTATGGGTTGGTTCAGTTTCATTAGCGTGAATGTGCCAGCGAGTCGATCGACGCTAAGTGCAATCTAATTATTTCGTAGAAATACCGATACGTATTTTCTGAAGGAAAGGGGGGATTTAAATTCGAAATTTCGAATCAAGTTTTATCGCAAAAATTCAACGGCGTTCTAAAGAGTCTTCGAGCTCGCGTTGTTTTCATGCATCTAACGCAAATGAGAATACGTCATTGATCTTAATGTAGCGACACTCACGGTCACGGGTTAATTATTCAACCGGTTTAAATTGAATCATCAAGAGATTGACGTGATCGATCGTTCCTGCGATTTAACTGATCGTAATCTGTATGCAATAGACGGAGGAGATAAGGCATGCACGACGATAATAATTTTTACGAATACAAGACTTTGGTGTATTTTTTTTTTTCTTCTATCACAACATACGGAATTATTCTATTGAGGACAAGACGAATCGCTGCTCGAATGAATGCTATTATGTCGCGTTACGCGAGAGGAAGGAAGTCTTATCGGGATGAAAACATACTGTGCGATGTGTGCGTGTGTAATCGTGATAGTTGACGAGACCAGTAATGTCACATATGTATGCGCGTATAAATATATTTCTGTTTTTGCCCCACCTTCTGAAATTATGTAAATTACGTCGGGTCGATGTGTCTTAATTGGTGAACGACACGCGTAATATTTAAAAATAGCCTTGCGTCGTTAAAATTAAATTAAATATTGCGATATCTTATACAGAAAAAATAGTCTTAAATCGATGATAGATATTCTCACATATAAGCAAGAATATTACGATATTCTTGGAAGACTTTTAGTCTTGAATTAAGGGCAAGTAATACCTGCATCAATATAAATTCAATTAAATCAAGACTAAAAATCTTCTCAGATTTTTTATCGAAAAATCTTCGGAAATAAATAAAATTATGATCCTTACTTATATATGAAAATATTTATCATTAATTTAAGATTCATTTTTCTTTCATACAGAAAAGACCTGTAGAATTTTCCCATACATATAATCTATTTCTCAGGTGAAATTTTTCTATATGTACGAATCTTTTAGTATAACATACAAGAATAAACGATTAAGATGATGAAATAATTATAGTTTTAATGGCTCGGAAAACCCCGGTTTTTCAAAATTATATAATTAATTGTACTAGAGATAAAGACTGACGATAAAGAGGAATTAAATTGATAATCTTTACGGTAGTCTTACGGTTGTAATCTTCAGTGAAACTCGTATCGGTCACGCGGCACGGCGTCAGTACAGTATACAGACACGATTCCTCGATAGTTCACTGCCTGATATCTAACAAATATTTGTGTTTTCTTTGTTGCAGGCCCAGTCGGACGACGACGATGTGGCGGACGACGTGTCCGTCAACGTCGGGGCGCAGGATGACTTTATGACGGAATTCTTCGCGGAGGTGAGTGACGAACTAATTCGTTGCTATGGCGCCGCGATTCTCAGCGATCGAAAGTAGGTTAAACCGGTATTGTCGGTGCGCGAAAGATAGAGAGAGAGAGAGAGAGCTAGATAGAGTATCGTGCTTGCATTTCTAACGAGGACAATGCTCGATTTCTTCTCCCGCTTCTTTCGACGCAGGTGAGAGGAGGTGGGCGATACGAACAGATTCCACGAACGTCTCGCGGAATAATATAAAAGTATCCTCGTTTTATATATAAATTTCCGTCGCTGAGATGCTTGCGGATGCAATAGGTCGCGCGCGCGTGAGGCGGCATATTTCGCGAAGATCTCTGGAATTCTTGCGCGACGCTCTCGCGCTCTATTGATCGCGCCAGTTGAGACTCTCCACGGAGTTTTAACCTTTCGCATCCAATAACGTGTAACGCGTTGCCGCGCCACGCTCTCTTGCCGCGCGTTTCGCGACGAGACGTTGCGCGCTTTGTTCGCAACATCTCGCGGAGGCGTCTCGCGACTTTTCTCGCGCGACGCGTCGCGTGCGCGGATTTTCACGAGGCGAAATTTTCGCGCGAGCGCGCGATCCACCGACGCGGAATCTCGAACGAGCATCGGTGCCGATGTACACCGCGTCAATAGCATCGCCTAATCAGCTTATACGGTATTACGGGGGAATTGCAAACTCACTCGGCTCCTGCTGAAAGCGGCGCGCACACGCCTCCCTTCGCATGTTCACGCGCTAAATATACCTCGAGAACGATTGTAAATGTTTCGAGGATCGTCGGATGGTGATCACCGTATGGTAAAATGTAATTACGCTTCGCGCTGTTGTAATATTAATTCGGCAAGCTGTTTCCGAAATAAATCGGCGACGTCGCGCGCACTTAACGAGAACGGGAAATTGCCGTCCGATCAACTATCAGCCACCAGGGTAGAAATTTAAAATGACGACTAGGAAGACTCCGTGCAATTTTTTACTTATATCCATGCGTATCTAAGCCCAATGAACACGAAGAAAACATGTTTTGCTGGAGCAGCAAGTTGTTTGTTAATATAGTGACAGTAAAAATATTTGTCACACGGAAAAAATAATTTTGCTGTTGCAGCAAGATGTCGTCGCGACAGCAATAAAATTTCGTTGGCACAGTCAGATTATTTTGCTGTTCATGTATCTAACAAATAGCAATTAATCTCAACAAATCTTTCTGCTGTCCAAACCAATTTTTTGTTGTTGTTACTATATTAACAAACAACTTGCTATTCTAGCAAAATTGTTTTCTCCGTGAAGGCAAGCTTATTTTGAAGCATGCTTATCTAAGGCCATTACAGACTTGGGACACACTCTGATTAATTTCTACCCGGGGAGTCTCTTCTGGCGAGAGGGAGGAAAACAGTCGGGAATAACAAGGTCAATGCGCGATTTTCGTTTTACGTACGCGTGCGATAATAAGCCGTGGCTCCCTTTCTCGAATGCGAGCAAGTTGCTCTATCTGATATATAGACTCTCTTTCTCGCTTTCGTGAGATTGTGATTTGTTGTCATAGATAGGAGAAGTCGCTGGAAATACGAAATAGCCCGGTACTATCGCGAAATGAGCGTACCGTCCTGTTTCTAAGATTGCGAGAACTCGAGGACGGTGAGGGAAATAGTTTCGGGGTAGTCGCAAATTACTTTACCGAGTCAACACGACGTCGTAAACTTTCGCTCCGATTAGCGCGATTTTTTCCTAAACACGAGAAACTCCGAGAAGAGCAAATATATACATATATTTTATAATCTTATATTCGATATGGAAGTGGCTAATCCATCTCAGCCGAGTCAGCGTGATGTCGTAGAAACGTTATGAATAAAAGAGCAGCTTGAAGAAGAGATTTTATTCGTAAAAATGTCGGAAAGACTAACGCGCGTAATGTAGAATACGCTTTTGTTTCTCCACTCTTTTGTCTTTTTTTCTTAAATAATTATACTTTCGTTTCTCTTACTCCGCTCTCCCCCGAGGCGTTTGCTTCATTCTTATTCATACGACCCATTTACAGACAAATGCTTTAAAATGCGAGACGCAGAAATAATTCTTACGTAACGTAAGATATGCTTTTCCTACGTGTCCCTCGGCGGAACAAATGCTTCCGTATCCATCGCCTTTTGTGGTCTCTCTAAGAGAAAGAGAGAGAGAGAGAGAGAGAAAGAGAGAATATTTGCCTGATTTTCATTCGCGTGACCCGCGCCGTTACACGTTGATCCGCGGTTTTCCCGATACCGAGCAATCTTCATCGTCGTAATTTCGCAACGATGGCGTGCGGCGTGTAACTAATTAAAAGTTACCTCGATATCCGCCTCGGCTTTAACCGCCGCGTCGGAGATCAATTCGCGCTCGTCGCCGTCGATCGGCGCCTATTAAAGACGAAAAGCTAAGTGGAGGAGGAGGAAACGGTCGGATCGCGCGCGAATCACACCGCAAGCGCACACGATATATGTATATACATATTATAATTATATATTTATCATATAATGTAATTATCGCGGCGGGCGATGATTCCGCTGCCCGGTAATAATTATCGCAGGACGATGCGCCATTTCTCACGCAGCCGTTTCGCCGACAGTTCCGTAGGCGTGCGTTTGACGTTTACGAGCGCGCGCGCGGTGACTGCCGGCCTCCGACGGCGGAAAACAACGCTCACGAAATCCCGTCTGTTTCGTCTCGCCTCACCTCCGCCCTGCCGGGACGGATGCCGCGGACGGACGTCGGATTTTAACGCGGTCGAATGCGCGATCCTCCGGGGCGCGGACAATTCAAATGCAGATGCGACGATCCTCCGGCCGAGACAGGAACCCGGGGAATCGAAATGTAGCATTACATCGGCATTCTCTCTCTCTCTCTCTCTCTCTTGTCCTTTTTGTCTCCTGACTTTTTTATTCTCATTGCAATTTTTATTTTTATTAAGATTTTTATCCTTATTTTACTTGTACTTTCATTTTTACTCGTGTATATTTTCCTCCTTTTTTTCACTTATTCCATTTGTAACGTAATTCCTTCCGCATCTTCTTCCTGTGTAACGCTCTTGGGGGGTCTCAGTGAAAATAAACATACTTATTTGCTTGCCTATCTCTTTAACTGAATTCAGAAGATTGCCACCATGTCAATAAAACTTTATGGTAAACTTTTTTAGAGAGCTGTGTCCTAGAATGAAAATAAGAGCAACTATTTATCTATCCTCTCTCTTTTTAACTTTATCACTACGCGTATGTTACTAATTCCTGTATGATCCAGTATTACAAAATTTTGTGATAATTTTTACCACAATACTTTCTCCGTATACATCTACCTTCAGAAATTCCTTTACTTTCTTAGGATTTCTACACTCTTTCTTTCCGTTTACTCTACTAAATGTTAGTTAAAATTGTATTACTGTATATTTAACTTCTAAACTGTAAAGTCCTTATAGAGCATGTCCTAGGAAAAAAATAAACGCTTTTCTCTCCCTTTCTCTCTCTCACTCTCTCGATAAACGATCGTCGCGCGCGCCGCGTTACGTAAGCATGAGGCACGCGACGAACAACGTCGGCGAATCGCGTTATATCGCAATACCATGTAGGCACACAACGGCGATACGCGAACGGTCGATCGATGTGTTTTACGTTAGCCACGTTCGCGCGCGGAAGAATGTCTCGCTTCCACAAAACGCGGAGTTACAGAGTTCACAGTTTCACTTGCCGTGCAAGTGGAATTGTTTTACAACCATCGTGCGTCGGGGATCGTCACGTCGCGTCGAGCATATAGTAGAATGAAAGAGAGAGAGAACGTCCGTGAAAAATTTACGGGCTGTCAGTTTAAACTTTGAAAGGGCAAAAATGCGTAAACGACGGGCATGTTATCGGTCGTTAAATGTAACGCAGGCGTTTGTCGGCCGAGTGGGCGCGCATGAAATTTTTGCGACAAATTTGCGTCACGCGCCGATGGATAATTCCACGATTCGCGCCTCCCTTTCTGCCCCGTCGCGTCAACACGCACGCACGGTAAACGAGCGTCGTATTTATATCACCAATAAAGCCACAATGGGGCACGATCGCGAGACACGACGGTGAAATTGCGCGTCGGACGCGCAATTTCGACGCCCGCGCGAAGAGACACCCCCGTAAGTGCATCAAGACGCAGCGACGCGGAAATTCCGTTCGTCCGTCGCGATATTTTCCGCGGCTGGAGGAGAATCGTCCTTCTGCTCGTTCTCCTCCTCCTCCTCCTATTTTTCTCGTCTTCACGGCGACGACGCGAGACGCGTTCCCATGCAAATGGATGGTCGTAAAAGCGCGCGTGCGGGTGGGTTGTGCACGCGCGAAGTTAGATTGATTTTCACCGCCATCCCCGTCTCGCCCCGCTCCGCACTCGCGTCTTTATTCGCCTCGATGTCTGCTTTCCTCGCGCGCGCACTTGAAAATTTACCTCAAATTCCCGCACCGCTCTTTCTCTCTCCCTTTCCCGCTCTCCCTCTCTGGGCGTGTTTATCCGTCACTCTTGTCGTTATTATTCCTCACTTCCTTACTTCTATATTTCAATTATCGTTAATTGTTTATTGTGATATATATTTGCGTTAATTATTTGATTCCAATACTTCCCAATTGTTTGGTCAATGATAGGGAATCGCAGCGTAATTCTGTACTGAGAAGAAAAAGTATTTAAAAATTTATTTGTGGGATATAAATCCTATTTCTGTGAAATAAATCTTATATCCCGCAAATAAATGTTTAAGTACTTTTTCTTGAGTGTGCTTGCGACAAGGATTATAGCGTGACTTCGTTTTAACACAGAGTGCAGGACACCCTTATCGTGCAGACTCTATCGATATTCTTTATCGGTAACGAATGCCTGTGCAGAAAGTGGAAAGAAATAATGTTTATTAACCATATGTTCAATCATTGGACAAGCTTCTTTTTTGCGTCCGACATATATTCGTGCACCAATCCGTGCGCGTGTTTACCGCTATGTTAAATTGCGTTTCCTCCCTTCTCGCGAAATCGATTAGAGCCTCGCAACCGCTCACACGGCAAGCAAGAGAGAGAGAGAGAGAGAGAAGCGAAACGCGAAGTCTAACTCGATACAAAATTCCTTCACGCGTGTAATCGCGGCGCAAGCGTATTATCTTTGCGAGCGTTAATATTCCCTTTCGTCTTCGCGAAGTTCGCGAGAGCGCGCCAATTCAGGCAGCAGGACGAAACTTACGCAGACACGGTCGTCGCGACAGAAACTTCCGCACTTGTCTAGTATGAAACTCTACATGAATAGGTTTTTCGTCGCGACTTTCAACGATGATGATGACGACAACGACGATGGAGACATGTGGCTCGCGAGAATCGTAATCTCGAAGTTAGAAGTACACGTTTGCGTCGAGCGATTCTGCGTTATCGTACTTCAAACGCGCGTAGAAACTTTGCGTTTCGCCGCATTGCGATAATTGATATCCGCCATATTCGTGCTCGGTTCGCTGAGGTGTCTACGACGAAATATGAGACTCGGATAATACACGATGTTAAAACACAAATATCAACCCGAGTCGGAATTTTGACTCTACGTTAAACTTTTAATCCTACAACACAGTAGAAGCTGAGATGGTAAAATGAGTTGAAAAAATTTCAATCATTTTAATGATATAATTTATTCTTATTTGACCCTAATGATGTCTTAAATTTCCGTTTCGGCTGTTTTAACAGCTAAGATAGGATTGTTCAAGGTAGCATTGGAATTAAACCTGTGGAACCAACTAAAGATTCAAGAGAGCCGTTAACAAGCATCGATATCGTCAAAATAGGTTTTTATTAGTTTACAAATCACCTAAGTAGAACGCCGACTATCCTTGAGAGCGCCAAAGTAGCATCGAATAATTTCGGCTCAGACGGTTTTTCCGATATTCATCCCCGCAAAATCCTCTCGCAGGCGGGCATGACTCCGCGGAGTCTCCGTCCGTGAAAAATCACTACTCGACGATCGCGCGGAGAAACATTCATCCGCTAGGGCGGCTAACGCGAAATCGATACGCAGCCTCGCGCGCACGATATATCGCGCGTCTCAGGCACGCCGAAATGTGTCCTCGTAGCCGCGGCGGCAGCAGCCATTAAGCTATCCGTGCTGACGTGCGCCTCGCATGTAAACGTCTATGCAGTCTATGCGCTATGCAGTCGTGGGCTGCGAAGGGAGAAGCGGCGGGAAAGCGGCCGAATAGACGACTCGCGTACAATCGAGCGGGATGAAAACGACGGCGAGCTTACGAGGAGGAGGGAAAGAAAGAGAGAGAGAGAGAGGGAGGGAGCGAACGTGTCGAAGCGTTGCGGGGGTGGCACTAATGAGACTCATCCCTGTGCACGGAATAGCGTGCAACACTTTGTGCGCCGATGAGAGGATGCGAGCGACGGAGTTCTCTCTCCAGAAGGGTTACGCTCTCCTCCGCGTCGACCACCTATCCCGTTACCGTTATCCTTTGACGAAAACGACTTGCCAGAGCGAGCTTTCTCGCTCGGGGATATCGCGCCCGCTCTTTATCCAATCCTCCTCCTCGCTATCGCGAAATGACTCTTAGTTTCGACGTGAAGCGCACCGGCAGTCTGTGTACTCTTCGCGACTCGGTTACCGAGAAGGAAGACGCGCGTCGACGCGTTAATGAGCGAGCGATTTCAGAACGTACGCGCACTTGGGCGTCGCGCTGGAATTAAGGTCGGACGCTCGGAATTAAATTAATCGTCTAAAATCGCGCCAACGCCCGTCATATCGGCCGCTATTAAGGGATTAAAGTCGGGGGCCGGGGGAGGTTGAGCGGCTGGCAGTTAACGTCCGTCGGACGAGTCCCTCCTTCGAGATGGCTTCCCGCGGCTACCCCTTCGAGTCGCCCTCGGCGAATTTCTTTCTCTGGCGAAATTCCAGACCGTCGTCGTCGTCGACGACGACGATGACGACTAGCTGCCGCCGGTGCCGGCCGAAGTCGTTTCGTACGTCCGTCGCGATGAAACGACGGGGCGGAAGATCCGATGAGTCAGACGGAATCGTATCAAGAGGAAAAAGGTCCTTGGAAGATTACGCATCCTTCCAACGAACGGGCCAATCGATGGGATCTCGCCCGGTTTTACGACGCTGTGTATGTGCATCAGTGCGCCGGGTCCGGAGTGACCCTGGCCATTTCGTCTCTCTCTCTCTCTCTCTCTCTCTTCCACTGACCGGATATTATTTACCCGCCATTCCCTTTTCTCCCGCTAATTAGGTTTTCTCGCGCTGGGAATACGCGAGCGAGATTTGCGAAATTTTTCAGCGGCGACCCGCCGCGCTGAGAATACCTCTTAACCCGTAAATGGACGCGTGACTTTTTTGAGAAATAAAATAACTGCTGTTTATAACTGTAATTCTCGAGTGTTCCCGAGTCGAAATTTTAGTTCTACATTAAGCCTGCAAAAAGCCCTCGGTTAAAGCCGAGAGAACGGAGAGTCAACTATATAATCTCGCGCGAATCGTTCAGAATGATTTCCGGGGTGTTTTTTTTTTTCTTTCGTTCATCCTCATATCGAAACTCGTTTTATTGTTCACGCGATGTTATCAGTTGGAGATATTGGACAAAAATTGATGAACTTTATTTCCGCGCTTCGATGCATCTCCCTCCCGAAATTTTCCCGAAACGTTCGCAGGCCGGCTCGCTCATGTACGTGCTCGCCTGACCGAGCGCGGTTTGTACCACTTGCGGCGCGAACCACTCGTTCTGGCCGCAATTACGGATATACTACTTAAGCAGAGTAGCGCGTCCGGCCGTAACATGTGCCGACCTCGATTACTTAAATTGGCTACCTTCATTTGCAATACGATCGGGCGCTTCTTTTTACGTTATTCTTTTAAGAGGACCGTGATCCTTCCTAAGAACACACGTTCCCGCTACCGACTGGACCAAATTCTCTAACTGCTCCTCTTATCGCGTCATGTGCTTTTTAATATCTTCTATTCTGTTACATTTTGTGTGTTACATTTCGTATACTATATTTAAAGATATATCAAGATTTATACATTGAGAAACTTTTAATATTATGTATATATATTAAATAATATTATATTAATATTAAATATATGGGGTGAATCACGCAGCGTGATCGGCTTAGTTTATTCTGCTGTTAATGGAGCGCTTGAAAATTTTTTTGTCTGATATAGCAGGGTCCAAGGTGAGCTTTAAGGTCATCTCCTTTCGCATTGTTTCTCTCACAATAAGCATATAAACGAAACGCTTTGTTAACCCGCCCCTCACTCGAACCTGCCCCTACTGTGAACTTTTCGGTAAACGACGAATGTAAGTTGATACTACTTGCCGCAGCGAAATGTCCCGAATTGGACTTGTACATCGCTCGCGAAATAAATCACTCGTCCGATAAGCGAAAGCCCGCGACGGCGGCAGCAGCAAGAGCGTATCCTTTCGCAGGATACGTATAAATTCCGCAAAGGTGAAAATCAACCGCTGACTCTGACGTATGTTTTTTTTGCCACAGGTGGAGGATATCCGCGAAATGATAGATAGGATCCAGACGAATGTGGATGATGTGAAGAAAAAGCACAGCGCCATCCTCTCCGCGCCGACGACCGACGAGAGTGAGTTTAATTTATCACCTTATATTACTTACCCTACTTTTTCCACACACGCGAGCGCGCATATATCTTCTCGCGGATAGCAGCGAGCTCGCTCGCGCGAACAAAAAGTCGGACCGCGCTGTGTGTGAAAACCGGCTATTTCCGGACACTCGCTCACTCGCTCGCTCGCTACTCCCGTCGCAAGCAGCGGCCAGTCTGAGGATTAAATTAAATGATAACTAGCTTGTTCAAATATTAGCACGTCGCGTGTGCTAACACCGTTGCATCTGTTTGCCTCGCGTGCTTATTTATCGGAGGCTCAAATTGGCATAGCTTCGCCGTGTTGAAATCTCGATAATGTGGTCGCGCGAAAATAATCTCCACGCTCGTTTGCGACAATGGAAACGCGATGTGAAGTAAACCTTATCGAATTCACAGCATCGTGCGCGCGCGCGAGAGAGAGAGGGGGATTGTTGAGAAAAGCGAGTTCGCCGTTTTCGTAACGAAGAGAACGGATCTCCGTAACTCGCGCTCGTTAATTGTCTCGTTAACGTCAGCGCTCACCTTTTCGGATATCGATCGGCGACGAGGAAGACGGTGGTATATGTTCGGGTCGATCGCGTCGGGCGCGAATCAACGCTTTGTTCCCCGGTTAACCGCTGATCCCCCGCGAGCTCTTCTCCCCCATCGGAGTCTTGCTAAGAGTCAAATTCAAATTTGCTCACTGTACATAATTCAAGAACTTATCCGTCTTTCTGAGCTCGGTTTACCCGACATCGGCGCACTTTCAAGCTGGTTGCCCTCGTTCGCCTCCGCAGCATATATCTCGCTCATCCTCGAACGCCTGGTCCTGAATATTTCATTCGGCCGAACGCATGCGTTACCTGGAAAAGCATCCGCCGAGCGCGCCACCGGCTCGAAATCCGATATTCCACAACGCGACATTTTATTATTGGCGCATCGATGATTGGCAACGTGGTTACCCCTCGGACCCCGAATCGCTGCGCTCCGTGCGTGGATAGCGAAGGTTCTGGGTTTATCGGATTCTCCGTATCGCTGAGGAAAGAGGATTTCGACTTTAGCAGAAAAAAAATAAACGGAAAATGCGATCAAATAAATACCGCAAGAACCGACCTGGAGTCTCTGGAAGACAGAGTCTGGCCACTGTCACGGTTTTCTAATAAAATGGTGTCTATCGCGTCGCGAAACGCGGGCCTAATAGACTGAATTGTATATTTCTTTAGCCTGACATTAATCTTTACGGTAAGCAGAACTATTATACCGTTTCTCGCAATATGAAATTAATCTATAGTAAATTACAAGTCGCACATTTCTACTTAGTATTTACGAACAGGAACGAACGAGTGAAAAATTTACTCAGCCGATGCAAACGTGGACAGTTAGTGGCCAGATTCCGTCTTCTAAGGACTCGAGAATCGGCCGAGCCCTCGACAAGCGTCATTCGGACGGATTCTTCCGCAGCATATTCCCCCGCGCGTGAAATCGCGCTCGCTGCGTGCGCGGAAACCCTGCGGGGGGAAGCCCCGTGGTGGAAAATGGACGCGGGGCGTATCAGCGAGCTATCAGCTTTCGCAGTTTCGCGCGGCGCGACGAGATAATCGAGCCTCGATATTCCACGCGCGCGCCGCCGAATTCAATAGCGGGAAATGTAATGCGGGAGATCGGTTAAGTTTGAAAAGTGGTCGTCGGGGTGATGTGTTGCAGCAGGGGGCGACGTTGCGCGGTCAGGGCGCGAATGAAGAAGGGGGGCACAGCGGGTGGCTGGATAGGTGGGTGAGCGGGTGGCTGGAAGGAACAAGGGCGAGCGGGGAGATCGGCGGTAATCGTCCTTGCCCTGGTTGCCATTGTAGCTGCCAGCCGGGGTTGGGTTGTCATCCCTTACACCTTCATCCCCCGGCGCGACGAGCCAGCGTGCGCGCGCGCCTACGTGAGCGTGTCTGCGGCTTTCAACTCTTTGTTTATGAATCGAACGCCAGCGCCTGTCGCGAATTAATCGTTAATGGCACTTCCGCGCAACGCCGCTTCTCCCCTTCTCTCCTCCCCAGATGCGGGAAGGGTTATCGAAGCCGCTGGGAGAGTAGCGAATGAGTTAGCTCTCGTTAATGATTCTGTATCGCCGCGATATCCTTGCGATATCCTCGCGATATTTGAGTATGAAATCGTCCCTTTTGCGCAGGGGAAAAGGCTTGGTTGAGTTTGCGTAACGATGAAGGAGCGAAACGCGTTCTCGTTGAAGGAAACGGAACCTTTTAGTTGGGAGAAATTTTGCCGAGCAGAAAATCTGTCTCCTTCGATCAGAACGCGCCTATTGTCACGTTAAATCGACCGATTTCTTTTTCTCCGTGCGGATAAATGTCACAACGGCGGAATGTAATATGCTGGCGCAGCAAATTTTACGCCGCCGCAGTAGAATCAGCCCAGTTTGCTATGTAGATGAAACGATTTGTTAAGAGTACCAATTACCGCCACTCGCTGGATTATTGTGCTGAATCTACAAATCATTTTACCGTGAGGACAAATTAGTAAATGTAAAGAAAAAAGAAATCTATTCCGTCCCAACAGCAAATTAACGCGTCTTGAAGAAAAATTCACTCGATAAAATATTTCCCGTCCCGGCGACAGAACTGTTTCTGCCGTAATTACGAATAATCCGCTAATTTGATTACGCCGAGTAAATTTTATTACTGACGCAACGAATAGATAGTAGCAACGATGGTTTGGCAGAATTATCTTTCTCCCTGTACGATATCGGAGAAACTCGACGACACTTAAACGACGAAAATACGTTAATTAAGCGAGCGACGTTAATTTCCGCGACGCTGCCGATTCCGGCACCGATTAAAAGGCCGAAAAACACACACACATACACACATACACGTATCGCAAGCTGCTGATGCAGCGTCTTTATTGCGCTCACCGGCGATTGGGCGGTAACACCTAATTGCGGTTTAACGTGTAGCCGACAAAGGGATTAAGTAATACCCGGTCTGAGAGCAATGCCCGCTAATTCCTATCGATGCCGCGACCTCGTGCGCCTTGCCGGCGGCAAATTCCAGTTTACCCCGTTTTCATTCGTGCGTTACGCTACGTGCGATCTTACCCCCCTCCCCCGTCGCGACCTCGTCGTCGGACCGTCCACCGCCGTCATACGTCGCGCATCGGTCTGCTATTGTTCGAAACGGACGCCGAGCATTTTCATATCGAGGTATCCCTGCGTCTCTCGGCCGCGCTTCTCCGGCCGGCTGAGAAGTTTTGACGGCGACGTGGCTAAGCCCTAGATACGTCAAAGAGGTTTCTCCGTCGTCTCTGCTATGTCGTGTGTACGTGCAAACGCGTCCGCACGTGTCCCAGACTCTTACGTTTATTGCTGCCGCAGCTCGCGGGTAAGGAAAGGTCGTAGCAGACTTGTGAAAGCGAAACAGCGGCAGGGAAATGAGAACGCGTGTAGATAAGACGCCGGTGCGGATAAATCCGCGAGATCCAACACGTCACAGCACCGTCTCCGTCGGCGGCGGCGACGGCGACGAGATGCGCCGTTATCCTTTATCGCGATTTATAGTTACGCGCGGAGGAGGCGCTAATCTTTTTTATTAAAGCGCCTCGTGTCGCGTGGGTATGAATAGAAGTCCCTCTTCACGAACGGGGACGGGAATGGGATTACGAACGGGATGGGAGACGTTACGGAAGCTATGCCGCCCTGGTAGAGTCGCCCCGGGTAGAGAGCGAAACGTATATCCCCGCGAGGAAGCCTTTACCTTTTTATTCTTATTTTTATCTACCCTCTTATCCTCTATCTTTACTTACGCTGCTTATTCCGAAGTGATACGCGTGTCCTTTATCCGCGGAGTCCGCGGAGAGAGAATTACATATTATTATTTAAACACGTGTATGCGCACGTATCGGTCGAACGCGTAAAAAAAAGAAATAATAAAAAATACGTCGGTTACGTAATGGCTAACGATCGGAGATTATGGATGTTATATTCTCGTTACTAGAATTGTGATGCGAGAGGAGCGCTCTTTTCGAAACGTTACGTAGTATCATTTTAGCGCGCGGGTGGATATAATAATAACAACAACAACAACAACAATAATAATAATAATAATAATAATTACATTTCTCCCGCCGTATGCTATCTTCGAAATGCGTGTCGGGTGTATCGGACGTTCCTCGTCGCTCTCATCGACCGGAAACGACTGCAAAAAATTTCGTTCGTAGCGCGCAGATCCGTTTAGAATCCAAGACGAGCGCGCACGTGAACGAGATGAGGATAATCTAGCCTCGTGCACGTCGACATTGTTGCTGCTCGCGGCCCCCAGATACGGGTTAAACGGTTTTAGAAACTGTGTCGCGCCGAATGCGCCTCGTTAGAGACGCGCGCGGATTATGGCGATAATGACGATGCCGGAACACCCGGGATCGGTGTTACGCATTTGTCGCGGCCGGTTCGATAATCGATCGTTCCCACGTCACTTAAGGTAGTTGTGTCGCAGAGTGCCGTATTTTCAATGGCGCTTTAAGGGGGCCGCTCGTGAATCTCGTAATTACCAAGCAAAATTACGTTCCTGTGCATTTATTTCTAAATAATAAATGTTAATTTGCAACCTAGTTGAGGTAAATATATATGCACAACATTGCAAATACGAAAATATTATTTTTCTAGTTTCCTGATCAATGTTATATTTACGCGTCAGTTGATCTAATAGAGATGCGAAGATGATAGAAAGAGATATATGAGCGTTTAAATATATGTGCGTATGTACATATATTTATAATATTACTATAAGTTATGAACTTTGCACCGCTGTATTTTCAAAATGGTCAATAATTCTAAAATATATAATGTCTCTATATTAGTCCTTAATATTGCGGTAGTTTTTCATTAAAATTCTAAATGTGGATTAAAAGAAATTAAAAATAAGATATTAACTTCAAGAAATACGTATAAAGTGTCATCTTTAGTTGTGAATATCTCAACTTCCTAATAGTCAATTTATTTC